AGAGAGAGAGAGAGAGGGGGGAGAAAGAGAAAGAGAGAAAGAGGTGTCGATGCGCGGCGTTGCGCGCGGCAGTTTCGAGTCCGCGCGGACCGTAATTTTCCTATCGCGGATTATAAAACCCCGACGATTCTATCCCGCGGGATATTGTTTGTCGTGTAAATATTACCAAAACACTTCGCGCGCGCGACGAGCGCGGTGCGGCGCGGCGCGCGGCGTGCGACCGCCGCGTGCGCGTGTAAACCGCCGCGCCACTCGTTCCATGTGCATCGTATACGTGTGTGTGTGTGCGCGTGTATGTGTATATATATATATATATACATATATATACGCACGCACACAATATAATTATAATTGACTTTTTAGTATTTTTTTACGATAAGGTTAATCTTATCAATAATAGATGATATGATGTATTATAATATATTTTTTATGATATATTAAAATTTCCTTATAAGATAAGATAGATCCGTTTAACTATGTTGCGACGTAAAGATAAAATATGAAGAATAAATGAAATTACCTCGTGTCTGGAATTCGCTCTCGAATGCTTCCGGCAGAAGATGTAGAAAAACATCGCCCAACAATGCACCCACCGCAAAGCTCAAAAGAATCTTCAAAGTGCCACCATTTTCTGTAACAAAAAGAATAAAATTAATATTTATTTCATATATACGGATTAGACAAAGGAAACATTTGAATTTTATCGACCTCAATAAACAGAACCTGATTAGAACAAACATTGATTGACATTCCTTTTGTTCTCGGTGTGTTGATAAAAAAACGTTTATGCATTTAAAAAATGCAAACAAATGCAGAAATGTTCAGGCGACAAATACGATATTCCCATGCCTAGGATAATTCTAAAAAGTGTGATTATGATCGTGATTATGATCCCGTACGTTTTTCAACACACATTCTTCGTAAAATTTGTATTTTGGCTTGGAATTGAATTAAAGAAAATCTTGAAATGTAATTATTATCATATTATATTAATGAAGAAGAAATGACTACGGCAAAAGGAATAAAATATATATGTAAAAAAAAAATGTAGTCAACGATGGAAACCATAAATTCTGCAATCGACCATTCACGTATTGTTGCGGACGCGTGTGGTAGACGAAGATAAGTCCGAGGTTTCATGCGACGAAATGAAGTCGAATGAAATGGATGTTACGCGTCTTTGTGCGGAATTAGTGAATTCGATGCAATTGACTTGCTTCAATATTGCACATTTATCTTATATTTATAAAATCGTATAAATGGAAGATTTGTAGCTATCGAAATTTTTTTCTCAAAAATTTCTTTACATCGATCCACACTCGCGACGATAGAAATCGGTGAAAATAAACTTTTCTTTCTGACTTCACGATATTTATTTAATTACGATCGTATAGTTCATAGCAGCATAAGAAAAGCAAATGATCGTGAATATCGCGATATCAAGGAAAGTTTAATACTAATGCTGTCAATAAAGGAATGACAATTAAATATCAAATACGTATAATTATAATAGTTATCTGCCCAATTTATCGGAAAATATGGTACATTAAATATACATGATACAGTAAATAAAAAAATTGAAGGTACGGTAAATTATGTGTCTATATCATGTTAAGCATCCGTGACTAACTCGTTGTGATAAATAGAAAATTTATGATACCACGTATACAATGTGACGTTCGACGCAATTGATAATCGCTAATAGATTGCAGCATCATATCCAGCTCTGCTGCAACTACAGTATGTAGAGCCGATGATAACCACTGTAATGTCAATAAGTGATTCATGGGAGAAAGAGAGGAAAAGGAATATAAATAATGCGTGAGCCTTGATCTCATTTTGACACGACTACGATTATATCAGCGCTCTTCTCTTCGGATCCGTCGATTGCAGCTCTCGGACTATAAAGTCCATGCGAAAAAAAAGACATTAAAAATAATAATTTTTTTTCCTATTGTGATAAAACTTCAATGCGTACACTAATAAAATAATGATTGTCAAATTAGTGTTTTACATGAATGTTATTTATTTATTGAATGAGTGTCGCGATTTGGCTGCTTAAGAGAATGCTGAAGGTTGGCCAAATTTGTACGAGGTCGATAAAGCAGAATCTTCAGTGTCAGTGGTATCTCTAAATGAACTTCTCGCAGTATTTTCTGGTCTCACTCAAACACGTGGAATGCCAATTTTTGCTATCTTTACCTTAGCCGAGCGTGCGAATTACCACAAATTGCATTCTAAGGGATAATTGTTTTTCTACGCTTCCAATCGTAGCTCAAAAGGTCTAGTATTATTCGTGCAAGTAATCCGATGCGCGCTAGATACTTTTTTGTACATATAAGCTGCAGAACTTTTGTACTTATGAAATATTTACGTCAGGTGACAGGTTATGATACCCCAAAAAAGGTAATTTTTTAAATATTTTTTCGTTTTTACTACTAATTTATACCTAGCGCGATGACATTTTATGTCTATTTCAATCCTGTAAAAGCGTTTTTAAATCTGTTCAGTCGTTTCAGAGTTATCCATTAGAATGCAAATATCAGTAATTCCCGACCTTTCAGCAGCCTCTTAAAGATGAGTTTGGACTTTCATTATATAATAATTTGCCACAAGGCACACATTAATACACTTACAAATCAAAGAAAATTATCAGTGATAGCGACTATAAAAGTGATATCTATGACAACTATTCAAGTTTTATACATATGTAGAATTTTAAAGTATATATTTTACTAAAGTAATGTATATGTCGCAGTCTTTTTCTATAATCAGCCTTTTTGCATAACGCCTTTGAAAATAACGATCATTCCTCAATTAGACTGACGTACTTGACTTTTTGCAAAAAGGCTAATTGACATCAGCCTCATTGTTTCACAATACACATTCTGCAAAAATAAGACATTTACGCAAAGCGAGGTCCACCCACTGGCGTAACTACAATGTTGCGGGCCCCCGGTCAAAAATTGAATGGGGCCCTTCGCAGAAATTTTTAATTAAAAACTATAATATGTATATATAATAATGTAATAATATGTATATACAAGGTGTCTGAAAAAGATTAGGACCTCGATCAAATTTGGGTGTCATTCCAAAATTAACTTGAAACTTTTAAACGGAAACAAAATCCTTATTTTTAACACTAAAAATGGATAGAACAGAAAATTAAGGCAAGATTTATCGTTCATCTTGTCATCTAAGTAATCTATAGCTTGCACAAAACTCTCTTTTTTTCTTATACGAGCTTGGAACCGTTAATGGCAAAGTTATGTTTCGTTTTTTATTTTTTTTGCATATTTTTGTATTTTTTATTTTTTTAATTAATTTTACAAAAAACAAGAAAAAATTTTCAAGTTTCTTTGAGTCGTGTGGCCCCTCTGGAGCCTGTGACCTTAGTCCCTCCCCAGCTCTAGAAGGGCTTACTACTGGTAAGATATTTGAGGGCCCCTTTCAAACTGGGGCCCCCGGGACGTGCCCGGGCTTCCCGGGCGGTAGTTACGCTAGTGAGTCCACTCCACACCAAAAAATGGTTTGGGTTAGATTAATTTTTTCTAGATGGGAGCTCCCCCGCAGGGGGGGGGGGGGGCGAACATACTGCCTCCATGCATATACTTTACAACGCAAAGTTATGCGAAAGAGAGCGAACAACATCTGATTTTCTTTTCTTTCTCTCTAACGTACAGATAGCAATATTATGAATGACTGACATTGCCACCGCTGGATGGGCAATGTTGACTTTGCCTGTCAGTCATTCATTGCAAACATTCATTGCAAACCCATGTGGATCACTGGCTTCGCGTTGTAAAGTACATGCGTGGAGGCAGTATGTTTCGCCCCCCTCTAGTGAGGGCTCCCTAAAAAAACTAACCTAACCCAAACCTCTTTCTTGATATGGGGTGGATCCATGGACGTAGGAATATAAGGGGACAAGAGCACAAAGTCGTAACTTAAGCGAGGGGAGTGAAGGCAAAATGCGGGAGGAAAATGGTGCCCAATAGTCTTATTGAGTCCCAGTTCACCCCCTCCACAGCAAAAATATAGATCTATTATATATGTGTGTATCACACGGACACTAACGGATGATACCCGATTGACCACGTCCCGATTGACCACCAGCCACTCATAGCGCTTGAACAGTGGAAAATCTCTAGGCACCGGCCGCTGTGAGTGGCTGTGGTCAATCGGGACGTGGTCAAACGGGACGCTCCCACACTAACAGCCAATCAAATTTGAACACGAATTACCTCGTCGCACCGTCCCGCACTGCCTTCCCCCCCGCAACAATATGCTCTGTCCTCTTATATTCCTATGTCCATGGGTGGATCTCGCTTCGCGTAAAAAGATGTAAACCCATGTGAGACCTCGCTTTGCAGTGTAAAGTGTTAGCGCGAAGGTATACTTCATTGAATAACCGAGCTAAGTCCGCAATAAAATAATAGTGGCTGACTTTGTCATCACTGGATGGGCAGTGTTGACTTTGCCTACATAAAACCGAGCAATGTTATTTTCAAAGGCGTTATGCAAAAAGGCTGATTATACAAAAAGGCTGCGACATATACAGTTGAATAAACTATTTTGTAGTTGTAATAACTATGTAAAATAGTAAAATAATTTATTCAACTATGTATGTTATTTCTATATACATAAAACTTTTATAGTTTCTCTTGGTGAACTCGCGACTGCAGCTTTCAAATTGTAAAGCTCATCGCGAAAAAAAAGATGTTGGAAATAACAATTTTTTTCCTGCGACGGTACTTGAATATATGCTTGTATCAGGAATCTTTAGTTTACCATATATTATATCTTTTTCGTTGAATGTGATATTTGAAATTGAAAGATTTTCGATGATTTCTGTATTCGAAACAAACATTTCATAATGCTTCAACAATATTACTCCATCGCGTATCACTTTCATTAATCGCACATGATGCATCGTTGTTGTTTGTTATTCTTGACAAGACTAGCTTACTCTTAGAAAATAGTATTTATGATACGTCAGCGTCAATTCAGCCGTGCAGTGTCGGTTCATGTAAAAGAAATGTAATCGATTTTTGAGATACCAGCCAGTTGTAAATTCCTGTAGTCGACAGATCGACCACTTGTCCGATATCACGACCTACTTCTGATAGAGATATTATTATTATTACAATATATTGACATTAAATTGCATCAGTTAAAAAAAAAAAAAATCAATCGGTCTAACTAGTATAACCGGAATAAAAAGAGAAGCAAGGCGTTGACAGAAAGTGAATATGCACAACGTGCTGACGATGCAAACAGATAAGATTGAATAATAAAGATATTTCGAATTGCGCTTTTCATAAACAAATATTATTCTATGTAAATAGGATTTTTTAAAATTGCATTATATTATTATATTATTATAATATATGTATAATATATTATTGTATTCTATATCATACATATATTATATGAATATAATTTTTTAAAAATTTTTATATTTTTAAAAAAATAATAAGAGACATATCTGTAAACTAATAAATTAAATACAGAAATCGAAAGGTTTATATTACGTATTTTTATGTTGCCTTTTTAATTAAATGTTTTTTTCAGAATATAAGTTTGAAAAAAGATGTACAACGTATGATTTTTTCAGAAATTGGATACAAT